GACTTGGAGTTGGAGTCCGCGCGTCATTTCGCAGACTGACCCACGCCGTAACGCCGACACGCGTCTCATCTGTTTTATTGTTGCGGTCGCCTTCCCGTGGCCAGTAGCAGCAGCTCTGTGGCGTGGCCGTAAGCGTCCAAGTGCGTAGGATTTGGGTGTTTTGCCTTGTTTTTAGGCCCTTTTTTTTCTCTTTGAGTTAGAGTCTCCCTCTCTCCCAGGCTCGAATGTAGTGGCACGCTCACGGCCACCGCAGCCTCGACTCCTTGGGCTCAGGCGATCCTCTCGCCTCAGCCTCCCGACTGGATGGGACTACAGGCGGACACCACCACGTCTGGCTAATTTTTTGATTATTTTGTAGAGATGAGGTCTCATTGTGTCTCCCAGGTTGGTCTCGAACTTCTGGGCTCAAGCAATGCTCTCGCCTCGGCATGAGCCACCGCGCCGGACCGTTCTTAGGCTTTCAATAACCAGAGCTCTGGGTGTGTAGAACTTCCAGGCACTTGATTGATGCGTTTCAGATGCCCAGGGCGTATGCCAGCAAGTCCCCTGCGCCCCCTGCTTCTCTCTTCGCTCCCTGGGCCGACTTGGCACTTAGTTGTTCTTTTCTTTCCCCTCCGGATAAACCCACTGGGCAAGACAGGCAAAACTTGAGCTGTCTGGCAGCCCTGCTTGGGATTGGGCCCAACATTATAGGCGGCAGGAAAGAGGGAAGCCCATTTTAGTCTCAGGTGTAAGGCACACACTTAGTAAAGCTGATGAATGCCTATCTTCTTGGCGTTTCCTACTTGTTTCAGATCCCAGTTCAATGGCGGTAAACTATCCCAACGAAACTTCTGTGAGATATAGTCGTAAATCCCTTTTAGTGCCCCCAGCAACTTTTAACTAGTACGCAGCGTGTGCAGTTGACTCACAGCTTAACAATCTATTAAAAATAGGATACTACTGATTATAATTTATAGAAATGCTTACTATTTTTGTGTATTATCCAAGAATTTTTATTTTTTCTATTTTTTTCCTATTGTTCATGATGATTTTCAATTTCTTTTTTTTTTTGATTTGGAGTCTCACTCTGTCACCCAGAGCGGAGTGCAGTGGCCGCTCCCGGCCACCGCAGCCTCGACCTGCCGGAATTACTGGCGCGCGCTATCACGCCCGGCTGATTTTTGATTTATTGTAGAGATGAGGTCTCACCAAGTTGCCCAGGCGGGTCTCCCCGCAGGCTCAGGCAATCCTCTCACCTCAGCCTCCCAAAGTGCTGGGATTACAGGCTGAGCCACCGAGCCCGGCTGATTTTCAATTTCTAAATAACTGAATGGTTAACTGAAAACTGGATTCAATATGTTAACCTCATCGTTTAATACAGCTAGAAACCAGAAGATATAAAGGGTTGGGTTTCAGCATGTAGATTCGATGGGGTATTTTGTAAAGATTTCTAAGCATGGTCCCTGCTCTTGAGATATCCTAAAGAAAGAATCTCTTAAATTTGAAGAATTTGGCTCTGGTTGGCTCTGGTTGTTGGCAAAAGGCCAACAGGTCTCCCCTGGTGGGCTTCCCCACAGGCTGTTTGAGTGTTTTCATGACATGGTAGCTGGCTTTCCCTAGAGTGAACAATCCAATACAGATCAAGGAAGAAGGCACAAAGTCTAATATGACTTAGCCACATACCACCATGTAGCAATATCTTATTGGTACACAGGTTAGTCTTATTCATTGTGGAAGGTGATTACATAAGAGTGTGATGACAAGCAGCAAGAATTGTTGGGAGCAATTCTGGAGACTGGCTAGTAGAGGAAATCTTCCCTCATTTAGATTATGTTTTGATTTACATAAAATCAATAGGAATTTCAAACTAATGTAAATTTTAAACATTTGTCAAAGAGAACATATAAGTGTTTTTCCTTGAATAGTCCACAGTATGGTCATCAGCCAACAATATTGACTTGGTCCAGACTAGGAATGGCAAAGTAAGACTGGGATGGGAAGAGGACAGAGAAATTAATGAGCAAGAGTTGGAAGTGGCTCAGAATGAAAGAGAAAATATTCTGAGGCAGAAGAATTCACTCATTCATTCACTGAGCAGGCATTTATGAGCAGCTCCTAAGTTTTTAATTCCACATATTCAAGGAGCTCAGGGTTTAATAGAAAGACAACCACACAAGCAAGTATGTATTTCGACCCTACTATGTACTGCCCTGTACAAGGTATATTTGCATCTGTTGTTTTGAGTATTTCAAAAATCATCTGGGATGGGTGGTCTATCTTACATATAATGACACCAGGACTCAAAAAATATTTGTGATTTGCCTAAAGTCTCATTCACTGAATGACAGTAGTTTTGTTGGGGAAAATGAAATTTATGACTAATTGGTTTTGAGGTATAGGTGGTGCAAAATACAACAGTCCTGCAGGCAGCTAAAAATCATGATCTGATGTTTGAGAGATGTCAGGGCTCAGGGCATAGTTTGAAAGAAACTGAAAGAAGAATAATTTCTAGTTTATTTTTTATTGTGGTAAAAATACATATTGTATTTTTAATGTTTATTTTAGCTTTTCAGTATGTCCAACAAAGAATCTTGTGGGAAAAAAGAGAAGTCTCAGAGGAAAGACACCACCTCATCACTCAATTTTGGTGATAAAGTAAGAATTTTGATTTACTGATGTAAGGATAACTTCCCCCCCAACAATTTAATTTTATTTAGTAGAAAACTATATCTCACTATTATAATGAGTTATGTAAATACTTTGTACTGCCCAGGTGACCTAGGAGAAGTCATTTGCTTTTCCAACTCTTGTGTCATTTTATTTATTCCTTATAACTCTGTGAGGTAGGTACTATTATTATCTCAATTACACAGATGAAGAAACTGAGGCTCAGAGAGTAGTTACTTAGAGGTAAATAATTTGCCTAGGTATTTTTGACTTCAGTTCTAAGTCCCCAAACCCTCTCGTTCTTGGCAGTAACTCGCCAATCAATGGACTTGTTCCACATTTTCTTTTTCAAGTTCCTCTACTTTGGCTAGGATTGCACTGTAATCAGTCAGAATAGCCAATGCTATGTGGATGAGGCTAATAGTAGGGAAAACATGCTTGCCATGTCTTTGCTGTTACTCTCAGAAACTACCTTAAGAGGTGATTTGGTTGGTGAAATTTAGGATATCTCATTGAGTTGTGTGTTATTTCCAGAAAGCAAGAAAGCAATGTGATTGATGCAACCAAAGCAAACAAACGAAAACCATACAGTCAGTTTTATTGTATACTCTCTGAATTGCCTATAGTTCATCATCAGAATCAGACAATGTTTATGCCATATTACTGTCTAAGGTGAGAGACTGATCTGGCCAAGGTTAATATTCATGAAAGAAGTAACTTCTTTGGTAGCAGGTTAGTCATAAAGACCTTAGTGAAGTTTCAGATATTATTGTAGTTTTTGGTGTTTGTTCCTATTTATTAGCTTTCTGATTACTAATTTGGTGTCTCAGGTGTAATGGAAAGGGGACCCTGTACTCTCTACAGTGTCTATATAACCCCCCACCCTCATTTGCCATTAATAATTGGTGTGCTGTTTGCAGTTCCCTCTCATTCCCTATTAAACCTACTCTAATCAGACTTTTTCTTATGGTCACTCCTCCAGGTACATTCTCATCAAAGCCAGCAGTGGATTCTATGTTGCTAAATTCGTTGGTCAATTCCAAGACCTCATCCCACATGACCTCTCAGCAGTATTTGACATAGCTATTTACGCCTCCTTAAAACACTTTCACCTTGCCCTTTTGTTGTGTGAGTTTGCTTGCTAAGGAATTCACCTAGCTTTTCCCTACTTGATGACTGCTTCTCAGTGACCTTTGCTAGTTCCTCCTCATCTTCTTAAACTGTAACCTTTTTGGTGCCCAGGCTTGGCTTTTCCAACTTAGTAGATTGTGATTCCATCTTTTGAGCTGCTTAGGATGAAACTGTTGTGGTTACCCTCTACCTGCATCCAGTCTATCAGCAAGTTCTATCACCTTTCTCTTTATAGTAAATATATAGGCGTACCTTGGAGATGTTGCAGGATTGGTTTCAGACCACTGCAAGAAAATGAATATTGGCAGTAAAGCGAGTCACACAAATTTTTTGGTTTCCCAGTGCATGTAAAAATTATGTTTAATATGCTATGCTGTAGTTTATTAAGTGCAATGCATTATGTCTGGAAAAAAAACAACAGTGTACATACCTTTGTTAAAAAATACGCCGGACTCGGTGGCTCAGCCTGTAATCCCGCGCCTTTGGGAGGCTGAGGTGAGTGGATTACCTGAGCCCGCGGGTTCGAGACCCGCCTGGGCAGCGAGACCTCATCTGTACAATAAATCAAAAAATCAGCCAGACGTGGTAGCGCATGACTGTAATTCCGGCTACTAGGAAGGCTGAGGCAGAAGGATCGCCAGAGCCCAGCAGGTTGAGGCTGCGGTGGCTGGAAGCGGCCACTGCACTCCAGTCTGGGCAACAGAGTGAGACTCCAACTCAAAAAAAAAAAAAAAATACTGTGGGGTGAGGAGGGAAGATTTCCTGAAGGAATTTGAGGTGGCAGTGACTTAGCTCCAACCTCAGTGATACAGCAAGACCTTGTCTCTAAAGATAATAATAATAAATAAATACTTATTGCTGCAAAATGCTAACTATCATCTGAACCTTTAGCAAGTCATAATCTTTTTGCTGGCAGAGAATCTTGGCTTGATGTTTATGGCTGCTGACTGACTAGGGTGGTGATTTCCTGAAGGTTGAGATGGCTGTGGCAATGACTGAAAATAAGTTGACACTGAAATTTACTGCACTGATTGATCCTTACTTTCATAAAAGATTACTCTGTAGCATGTGATACTGTTTGATAGCATTTTTTTTTTTTTTGAGTTGGAGTCTTACTCTGTCGCCCAGACTGGAGTGCAGTGGCCACTCCTGGCCACCGCAGCCTCAACCTCCTGGGCTCCAGCGATCCTTCCGCCTCAGCCTTCCAAGTAGCTGAAGCTACAGGCATGCGCTACCACGCCCGGCTAATTTTTTGATTTATTGTAGAGATGAGGTCTCACCAAGTTGCCTAGGTGGGTCTCGAACCCGTGGGCTCAGGCAATCCACTCACCTCAGGCTCCCAAGGCATGGGATTACAGGCTGAGCCACCGAGCCCGGCTTGTTTGATAGCATTTTACTCACAGTAGAACTTCTTTCAAAATTGGAGTCAATTTCCCAAACCCTACCACTTCTTTATCAACTAAGTTTATGTAATATTTTAAATCCTTTGTTGTCATTTCAACAATGTTTATAACATCTTTGCCAATAGTTTCATTGCTCATTTATAAGAAGCAACTCCTCATCCATTAAAGTTTTAGCATGAGATCGCCGCAATTCAGTAACATCTTCAGGCTCCAGTTTTAGATCTCTCGCAGTTATTTCCTCCTTGATGTCTTGAACCTCTCAAAGTTATCCATGAGGGTTGGAATCATCTTCATCCAAACTCTTGTTAGTGTTGATATTTTGACCTGCTTCTATGAATCATGTTTTAAATGGCATCTAGAAGGGTGAATTCTTTCTAAAAGGTTTTCAATTTACTTTGCCTGGATTCATCAGAGGAATCATTGTCTATGGCAGTTGTATAAACCTTACGAAAATGTATTTCTTAAACAATAAGTTTTGACAGTTGAAATTATTTCTTGATCTATGAGCTGCAGCATGGATGTTGTGTTAGCAGGCATGAAAACAACATTCATCTCATTGTATATCTCCATTAGAGCTCTAGGGTGATCAGGAGCATTATCGATGAACAATAATATTTTGAAAGAAACCTTTTTTCTGAGCAGAAGTTCTCAACAGTAAGCTTAAAATATTCAGTAGACTATGTTATAAGCAGATGTGCTGTCATCCAAGCTTTGTTATTCCTTTTCTGGAACATAGGAAGAGTAGACTTAGCATCATTATTAAGGGCCCTAGGATTTTCATAATGGTAAATGGAGTGTTGGCTTCAGCTTAAAGTCACCAGCTACATTAACCCTTAATGATAGAGTCAGCCTGTTCTTTGAAGCTTTGAAGGCAGGTATCATCATCACCTCTCTAGCTATAAAAGTCCTAGATGGCATTGTCTTTCATTATAAGCCTGTTTCATTTACATTTAAAATCTGTTGTTTGGTGTATTTATCTTCATCAGTGATCTTCTGAGTAATTTGCTGCAGCTTCTAAATCAACACTTGCTGTTCACCTTGCACTTTTATGTTATAGAGATGGCTTCTTTCCTTGAAACTCATGTACTAACATCTGCTAACATCAGACTTTTCTACTGCAACTTTCTCACCTCTTTCAGCTTTCCTAGAATTAAAGAGAGTAGCTGTGGATTAGGCTTTGATTTAAGGAATGTTGTAGTTTGTTTGATTTTTCTATCCAGACCACTCAAACTTGGTCCTATTAGCAGTAAGGTTATTTTGCTTTCTTACCATTTGTTTGTTCACTGGAGTAGCACTTTTCATTTCCTTTGAGAACTTTTTCTTTGCATTGACAACTTGGCTGTTTGGCCCAAGAAACTTGTGATCCTATTTTAGCTTTCGACATGCCTTCCTCAGTAAACCTAATCCCTTCTAACTTTTGATTTAAAGTGTGCGACTCTTCCTGTTACTTGAGCACTTAGAGGCCATTGTATGCTAATAAAACCTAATTTCAATATTCTTGTGTCTCAGGGAATAGGGAGGCCTGAGAAAAGGGAGAGAAATGGGAAAACAGTTGATTGGCGGAATATAGAACACATGTTTATCGGTTAAGTTTGCTGTCTCATATGGGTTTGTGGTGCCCCAAAACAATTTCAATAGTAATATCCAGGATCACTGATCACAGATCGCCATAGCAGATATAAAAACAATGAAAGTGTTTGAAATATTGCGAGAATTACCAAAATGTGACACGGAGACACAAAGTAAGTGCATGCTGTTTGCAAACTGACTCTGATAGACTTGCTTGACACAGGGTTGTCACAAACCTTCAATCTGTAAAAAATGCAGTATCTGCGTGGTGCAATGAAGTGAGGTGTAATAAAATGAAGTATCTATGGTCAAAGTCTGACTACCTTCTCTACTGCTATCCTCATGATCCAAGCAATGAGTTTGTTTTCCTAGATTAGTTTTGTAGTTTCCAAACTGATCTCCTTACTTCTGCATTTGCTTCCTCTTAATCTGTTCCAACACAGCATCCAGCGTGATCTTGTTAAAATATAAGTCAAATCACATCACTCCTCTGCTTAATACTTTCTAGTGGTTTTCTACTTCATTTAGAGTATATAAAGTCCTGACAAAGGTCTAACAAAGCACCTCTCTGCATCTCATTTTTCTAATACTCTGTTTTTCTGCTCCATAGCTTCCTTGCTCTTGTTCCAACAAGGCAGGCATGCTCCTGTTTCTGGGGCTTTGCCCTTACTAGTATCCCTTTGAATTGAAAACTCTTTATCTCATTATTCTCCTGGTTTATTTCTTTACTTAGTTTAGTTCTCTTTTCAGATGCCAACTTATTAGTGGAATCTTTTCTGACTACTCTGTTTAGAATTGTAAATATCCCGACTCCCAATTCCCAGTCCTTCCTTTTCCCTTTCTCTGCTTTATTTTTTCTATAGTATAATCTGATGAACTAAATATAGTACTTATTTATTTGTAAATTCCTGCACTAGATTTTTACCTTCATGAAGGCCTGGACTTTTATTCTTTTTTTATTACTCTCTTCCCAATGTTTCAAATGCCTTTGGTACATAGTAGGTACTCCAAACAAGTTCTTCATAGGTCTGTTGAATTCAGAATCCACTGAAAAATGAGTGAATATGAGACTTTGCTTTTTAGGAGACTGACTCTCACTGTGGCAATGCCACCTCACAACAACCTTGTTCTGACACTGGTTTCCCATCTCAGCTCTAATTCATTAGCACCAAGGGCTTCTGATTTCTAGTTGAGTGCCCTTCCTGTTATCACAGTTTGTTTCCCACTGAAGTTCCTTATGGAATGAGAATGTTGATTTATAATACTAGTGATGAAATAATGCTGTTTTATGTTGTACTTCATTTTGTGCCTTTTTTGTTTCCAAATGGCATTCTAAGGACAAGAAAAGGGAAAAAACCTCAGCAAGTTCTACGAGTTCACCTTCCTCTATAAGATCAATTTCATCAGAAAAGAGAAAACTGGTGAGTGTTCAGCTACCATAACTAAAAACTACTTATATTAAGTTTTAATCTATAACTAGATGGTTTATGATATAAATTTTCCCCCACTACTTTTTCATAACTTTTATTATACTTAATTTTTGATAGGCAATAGAGGTAAAACCAGTGGTTGTTTTTTTTGTCTTTCTTCTACTCACTGAAAAGCATTTATCAAGTTCTTTATTTCTTGTGCTGTTTAACCCTACCGTGTGGGATTAGACAACATAGATACAAGTTTAGAGATTTTTATTTTATTTTATTTTTTACTCCACCCCCTAGACAGTTTTACATGTATGGCTTCTCACGTGTATGGTTATATTTGTCTTTATAATCTCCTTTTGAGGTAGCCAATACAGATATTTTGTTAGCATTTTCAGATTCAGAAACTGGGATCCAGCAGGTTAAATGACTTATCCAAGGACCCAAAATTATATACAGCAACAGGGCCAAGTCCAAAATTCTTTCCACTCTTAAACAAATATTTAGAAACGTGACAACATATTAAACACATAAAGCTAGTCCATGGGTGATAGTAGGTTATTTGTACACTTCATTTTACTTATCCTTTTATCTTCTAGACAGAGTAGAGAGAGTCAGACAGATGTGGTTTAAAATGATGGCTCTGCTACTGATTTGCTCTGTGACGTTGAAAAAGATACCTAGCTCGCTTGGCACCTTGGGTGCTTTATCTGTGAAATGGGATTGATGATAATAGTTGTCCCACAAGATTATTGGAAGGATTAAGTAAATTATCATGTCAGCTATCACTGACATAGCTATGGAAAAAATATTGTCTATAAGTACAAGTGCATAATTTGTATTTCCTAAATAACAGACTTTTTTTAAATTTCAGAAATCAAATCATACAGACATTCTGTACAGTAATACAAAAAGAAGACAAGGACTGAAAAGGTACATTTTTCCTTTTATCTTTTTTTTTTTTTTGAGTTGGTGTCTCATTCTATCACCCAGGCTGAATGCATGGCACAGTCAGGCTCCCTGCAGCCTCATACTCCTGGGCTTAAGTGATTCTCCCACCTCAAACTCCTAAGTAGCTGGGACAACAGGCACTTACCACCATGCCTAGCTAATTAAAAAAAATTTTTTTTTGGTAGAGATGAGGTCTCTCTATGCTGCCTAGGTAAACTCTTGAGTTCAAGCAATTCTCCTGCCTTGGCTTCCCAGAATTCTGGGGGTATTTCAGGTGTGAGCCACTGTGCCCTACTGCTTTTTATTTCTTTGGTTTAGAATTGTGAGACTAAATATTTAGATTTCGAAAATCCTTTATTTACTTTGATTAGTACTGTTTTGCATGCAAATATCTCCAGCTACATCACGGATTATAATGATTGAATTTTCTCAAATAAATGTGGAAAAAGTTGAGTAAAGTAAAAGTTTTTCAAAACTATTGTGTAAATGACACTCAAATAAAATGTAGAATTTTATCTCAAGTTATTTGATTTGGGCATATGATTATAAGATACATAGTTTCATTAAATGTGCTAGTGAAAGAAGTTATGAGGCTAATTTAGAAATTTGGATTAAATTATCTTTATTTATTACCCATGAAGATAATTATGTATCTTACTGAATTTATATGGCTCTAAAACCATGTTGATTAGCCAGCATGTGGTACAGCTACAGAACTTGGGGAACAATGGTAAGAGTAATGGAAATAATTTTTCTTTAATTTCTGCTTTTTTTTTAGATAGAAACTTACAGAATTTTGTAGGAATTTCTTGTTGCTCATGGGAGTAAATAACTACAAAAAGTATAATTAATGTCTGAAACAAGTTGCTAAGATCAAGGTTTCTCTGAAAATAGGGATTTATGGAAAAACAATTAAAATGGCATTAAAAATATTATGATGGCCAACAGAGCAATCTAGCAACTGATAATGTTGACAAATTATTGTTCCTGCAGTGGCATATTTTAAAATCTTGATTATTAAATTTTTAAATAATCTCTAATCAGTATTGAGTTTTCATTAATTGTGTGACCAAGACCATGGTGCATAGATTGCTATGAAATATGCAGCATGGGGCTATTGTGAATAGCAAATAAAATAGGAACATGAAAATGCTCAGAGAACTACAAGGTTCTGATAAAATTTAAAGTTTAGTTTTATTGGTACTTACTGGCAGATAAATAATGATACACACTGTTTTTGTACAAAAGAGAGATTAAAACAAACAAAAAAACAGATGGAAACTCAGGTGAAGCTCCTATAAAAACTCTGATACAAATTAATGGATCATGTTGGATTGAAAATTTTTTCCCCTTTTGTTCTGACTACAAAATAGTATCTATTTTTATTAATCAGGAAAATATAACTATCACCTCTAGCTATTGCTCTTTCTAACATTTTAGCATATTTCTCTCTGGCCTTTTTACTATGCTGTTTAAATTACTGAGATCATATTATATATACAAATTTGTGTCCTGTTTGTCTTTTTGCCTAATATTATATTAATTTGTTTTATGTCGTTAAAAGCTTTTCATAAACATCCTTTGAAAGAACTATGATATTTTATCATATGAATATATTACACTTATTTAGTCACTTCTAAAATTTTAGCAGTTACTTTCTATCTGATTTTTTTTTTGCTATTATAAATAATCTTGAATTGAATGTTTTTCAATATATTCTTTCAGTTTGTTTCTGATTTGTTTCACTTTGGTATAGATTATTAAAATGGGAATTACTGAGAAGTCAAAGAATATAAACATTTTTAGAGCTTTTTTTTGAGTCAGAGTCTCACTCTGTCACCCAGTCTGGGAGTGCGTGGTGTAATCATGGCTCACTATAGCTTCACCCTTCTGAGATCAGGTATCCTTTGGCCTCAGCCTCCTGAGTAGCTGGGACTACAGGCATGAGCCACTATGCCCAGCAAATTTTTTGATTTTTTGGTAGTGGCAGGGTCTTGCTATGTTGCCCAGGCTGATCTCAAACTTCTGAGTTCAAGTGATCATCCTACTTCAGCCTCTCAAAGTGCTAGGATTACAGGCAGGAGCCATGACACCTGGCCTAGAGCTTTTAATTTATATTACTACTTTCCTTTGTAGAACTTTTACATTATTTTGCATTTCTAAGTGACATATAAAAGGGTCCATTTTATAACTCCTTGCCAGCATTTCATATTGTTTTAACATCTTTGCTTGTTTGACAGAAGAAAATTGTTATGTTATTGTTATCATTAGCATGTCTGTGATTACTAGGGAAGTCAATCTTTTTTTTCCAAATATTTGTTAATCATTTCCTTTTCTCCTTCATTAATTTTCAGTTTATGCCTTATTCTAGAATCTTAGTACTCTTTGATGAGCTTTTTATATACCATGGCTAATAAGCTGTCACATATCTAGCAAATACCATTTCCCAGTTTAAAAATTTTTTATTAACATTTCATATGCTAAAGTTTTAAAATAGCCATATACTATTATTATTTTCCTTTGTTATCTATCCCATTCTTGCTAAGTTTAGGAAGTTCTTTATTAAGAAATCAGATAAATATCTTTTTCCTTTCTGGTATTTCATAGTTTAATACAAAGGGTGCCAAAAAGATGTATACACAATTTAAGAAAGGAAAAAACTGTATTAAAGTTGTAATACTCAATATGTATTGATAGCAAAAGATGAATGAAAGTCGCACTTGGTAGATGGTTGAACTGGCCAGTTCTACTCTCCTGCCTGCCATATAGTGATGCTAACATGCATTTGATTGATGCCATCTTTTGAGTGAATGTGTATACATTTTTTGGCACCCCTAGTATGAAGTATAAAATAATCATAATAAGAATAATGATGATGATTTTACAATTAAGTGTTTAGTCCACTTGGATTTTTATGTTGTCCGATATTATGTAAAGCTGTAAATGTATTTTTTTCCAGTGGCAAATTAAATGTTCCAGCACTATTTATTGAGTAATCTTTTTTGCTTTGCTCTTACTGTAGCCATTCCCTACTTTTTATGAAGTTTGATGTTGGCCTAATTCTGTTACCCCAACTAAAATAATACAGTGCAACATTATGTGTAATTATAATCTAAATTTTTGTCATGTTTTCTAGATTGAATATAGAAATTGACACTCTGAGAAAGAGACCAAAAATCAGCTCTTCATCCCAAGGACATATTAATCTCCAAGAAGTAACATATTCAAATGATAATCACATTATTTCACTGAGTTCTTCTTCAAATGGAACTAAAAAAGAGATAAGTAAATGTGTAGATTTTGAACCTAAAGATATTAAATTGACAAATGCTAGGAGTAAGCTTGACCATGAAATTAAAAGCCTTAGCAGTCTTAAGATTGCCAACGATGTGAAACCTAAAGCTGAAGGCCAGTCAAATGAAAAGAAATGGTCTCATTTACTTGCTCAGAAAGTGAAGATGAGAGAACTCCAGAAAGAAAGGAACAATAAATTTAGACACAGTTCTGAAAAATGTGTGTTGGAGAAATGCAAGAGAATTCAATTTTCTCAGGAGTATAATTCCCACAAGATAATGAAGGAACCCTTCGAATCTAGAAGAAGGAAGATCAATATAAAATTCCAATTAAAATCCCATGATACCCTCCAGAAGCTTGTAGAAGAAAATGTCTTGAATATCAATCCTAACAAATCAAAGACTAAACAAGAAGAAAGAGTGTGCCTGGAAAGCACCCAGGTTTCATTAAATTTGAATAGGCACAAGACTGAACATTTATTTTCAGATTCCACATATAAGCAGACTGTACATGAATGGAAAGGAAAATATCATTATGACCATCAAAAAAGTAATGATTTAAGTTCTAGGGAAAATCTAAGCCAGGTAAGGTAGTAAAAAATGGCGAACATAGAATATTGTTGGATATTTAGTTGTTTCTATTACTGATAATAATCATTGAGGGCTGATTCAAATTTACTCATCAAGATATGTATTTGTTTCTTTATTTTACTCTCTTTAATTCCAGCTTCTTTAGGAAGATATCTTGGCAGGTATCAAGGATTCATAATAGAAGGGACTATGTTAAAATGTGGTAAGAAGCAGTTACAGTCCTTTGAAAAAAGCACTGTAACAGTCTCTTAGGTTCTTCTTCAACTCCAGATAATGGAGAACACTTGGGGGGTAATATTCTGTATAGTTTAGTTATTAAGCAAGTTATTTTTTTCAGTGCTATGTGCTAGACACTGCAATAAAATGACTTTAAGAGACAGCACAGTCTGTTTTCAGGGGCTTATTCATGTGAGGAGAGACACAAGCAATTTCTTTCAATATGATAAGTAAAGTTCCTGTCATTTAATATGGGGATAAACAACAGGGGATTAACATAACTTTGGTACACTGAGGAAGGATTCAGTAAGAAAGGTTTACTGGATGATATAACATGTAAGAAATAAAGAACGAGTGGGAACTACATGTGCCGTAATCCAGGCTAGAAAACTTGGCACGCCTATTTTACTTTAAAATTATGTAATAAATTGGCCTTTTTGGACTACTTTGAGAACCTAATCTCTGTAGCTTTGTTTCTATGGCAAATAAAATTATTTACCTTCAAAAGAACTTTAGAACTTTGGAACTTCAGAACTTTGGAACTTAAGAAATTCTGAAATTTGTAGACCGCTTATAAACTAGAGTAGTTAGGTCTACCTACTTTTAGCTATTAAGACTATGGATTGCAGTAGTAAGGTATTATAAAAAATGAAGGGCTTATAACTAAGAGCTTGGGAGTACTTTTTGGTCAAGTGAACTTGAAGGGGCCCAAAGAGGGAAAGAATTGAGTTTGTTCTTTTTACTGTTTTCTTAAAGCAAAGAAACTCTAGATTTTCTTCTTGTGTTTTATTGAGTTCTTTAGAATAGAATGAAGGAAAGGAACTTGAAGTTGCCAGTACGTTCAGTGATCATCATTGTGTCATTGTTTGGTACATCTAAGGAACAGTATGAGACATCTCTGCAGTGCATCTTATAGTTTCTCTTGGCTCTGTATAGAATTACTACATAAACCAAAAGAGGTGTATAGCAAGAATGTTAATTTGTACTTGGAGATATCTTGTGGATCACCTACCAGCAACTTTACCACACTTTTTTATGAAATAGTGAAAAATGAATCACTTCATATTAAATAGAATAGCATTGGAACCAGTTATTTTATTGTAGTGATATTTGGCTTATAATGGAATTTTGGATATTGATGAACTTATTTATGACAAAAAGATCTAAATTTTATATCATATTTTTCTAACATGTGGTAATATATAAAGCAGTCATGAAACAAACATGCACTGCAGGTTCATTGATATAAGTTGTGCAGTAGTAACTTGCTTGATGTCTTCCACTTGGTGTTTTTCTAGTCAGACAACGCAGTCTTATTTTCTTCTTCCCACATTAATAATATGTAATTTATTGTCCATTCTGATGTTCGAAGACAATGTGGAAGAACACATTCATGATTCTGAAAACCACAAAGATGAGTCTAAATCTAACTCATCTTCACTGCTACGTATAACTCTGTTTTGTCTTTTCATTTTGTCATTATTCTGCAAACTAAATAAATGGGTACAAAATTTATGATTGTATAAGAAAAGGATTGGCAGTAGCGGGACATTGCCAGGGGAGAGCAGGGGCACATAATATCAATTAAGGGTACCTGATCTCAAACCAGGCAAAGTGGGGACCAAAGGGAGGCCCAAACATAACCTGTATGATGACCACTTGTATACCTAATCCTGGATTGTATACCACTTCTTTAAAATAAAAAAGTAAAAAAATAAAAATAAACATACTAAATACTGTAAAAAAATTTTCTAACTGTAAATTACAAAATCACAAAATGAAATTTATCAAAAGTATTACTTTTCCAATTTTTTCTAACTTAGTACAGATAGATATAGTCGATCTGTGCTGCTTGATACTTAAGTATGGTCTGCCTTCAACTTCAAAAGTCTCTTTCTTTTAAGGCCACAGCAACTTGCTTATCTATCTTTTCAGATTATGCCATACAATGCCCATACCCACAGCTGCCTTTCTTACACAAATGCTCTTTATCGCTACCTTGTATCACAAAGAATTGTTGGCACCACTGTGAAAACACTTCAGACATTTTCTTTCTGCGTGACGCCAGCTGATTTTTTTGCCTATATTTCAGTATATATTCCGTCACTTTATTTGCTTTTTCATGCAATTTGAATGAAAAACTTCAAGGAAACATACATTTAAAAAAAATTTGTGCTTGCATTAAGTTTGTCCTGTATAATCACCAGCAACCTTTTTATATCCCCTGAGGGGATATTTGAGTGGTTTGTTAGATATATGATTTTGTATCTCATGAAAAAGGCTTGTTTGTAGATGGAAGAGAGCCAATGAGGTATACTCAGGGAAGCACTATAGTTGCATTTCCTATTTTGAGTCACTTCAGTGATAAAACTGTTATCCTCATTATTGATAGTCCTTTGTCACCTCAGGAAAGACTTTATCCCAGTAAAGCATGGTAGGGAAAGACAAACAGTTAAATCCTTTTATTTAACTGTAAAGGGATGAAGTTTTCAGGGACAACTGACGTGAACTTTTCTGGATTACTGATAGAAAATTCATTGAAATCACTGGAGGTGGCCTGTGACCAAAGAGAGCAAAAGGTAATGGTAATCCAATGAAGAGAATAAAGAGGCTTAGAGTTTCAGAAGCCTCGGGAAGTTCTAATAATAATTTCTGACTTGCTTGGCACTTTTTAGTTTAAGACTACCTTTAATATCGTGACATTTAAAGTTAGATGAAGAAGGGATTATAAATCTCAGGGTCATAGAATAGTAAAGCTATAATGGGCCTGTGTGCGATGTGTATGGTATTATATCATGTGAATTGTGATATTGGAATGTTGTAGTGGAAGTCAGATTCCCAGTTAAGCAATTCTCTCCCCCCCCCTTTTCTTTCAATAGCTTTAGTGTGTACAAATAATTTTTGGTTATGTGGATGCATTGTATAGTGGCAAAGAAGTCTGGGCTTCAAGTGTACCCACCACCCCCACCTGTGTACCTTGTACCCAATAGGTGGTTTTTCATTCTTCCACCCCTTCCCACCCTACCCCTATTGGGTCTCCACTGTCCATTATACCATTCTCTATGCCTTTGCAGATCCTTAGTTTAGTTCTCTTATAAGTGAGAACAAGTGGTGTTGGGTTTTCCGTTCCTGTGTTAGTTCGCTTAGGATGATGTTCTCCAGTTCCTTCCAAGTTGCTGCAAAAGACGTTGAGTTGTATTCCATGTTATGTGAAAATGCGGCATATATATATGCCGCATTTTCACAATCAGCTGATCAGTTGATGGACATTTAGGTTGATTCCACATTTTTGCAATTGTGAATTGTGTTGTGATAAACATCCAAGTTCAGGTATCTTTTTTGTATTATGACTTCTGTACCTTTGGGTAGGTACCTAGTGGTGGGAGACTGAATGGTACATCTACTTTTAGTTCTTTGAGAAGTCTTCATACTGATTTCCAAGAGGTTGTACTAATTTGTACTCCCGCCGTCAGTGTATGAGCATTCCTTTTTCACTGTGCCAGCTTTTTTTTTTTTTTAATAATGGCCATTCTGATTGGTATAAGGTAGTATCTAATTGTGGTATTAATTTTCATTTCCCTGATGATTAGTGATGATGAGCATTTTTTCATATGTTTATTGGCTATTTGTATATTGTCATTTGCCCACTTTTTAATGGGGTAATTTGCTTTTTTCTTGTCAATTTGTTTGAGTTCTTTATAGATTCTGAATATTAGTTTTTTTGTCAGGTATATAGTTTCTGTAGGTTGCCTATTTGCTCTGTTAATTCTTTCTTTTGCTGTGCATAAGCTTTTTAGTTTAATTAAGTTCCACTTATTTATTTTTGTTTTTGTTGCATGTCCATTAACCATAAATTCTTTGCCTAGGCCAGTGTCCAGAAGAGTTTTTCCTAGGTTTTCTTCTGGGATTTTTATAGTTTCAAATCTGATATTTAAGTCTTTAATCCATCTTGTGTTAATTTTTCTGTATGATAAAAGATAGAGATCAAATTTCATTTTTCTGCATGTAGCTATACAATTTTCCCAGCACTGTTTGTTGTATAGGATAACCTTTCCCCAGTGTATGTTTTTGTCTGCTTTGTCAAAGATCAGTTGATTGTAGGTGTTTGGTTTATTATCTGTTGTGTTCCATTGGTTCATGTGGCTACTCTAGTATCAGTACCATGCTGTATTGGTTACTGTAGCCTCATAGTATAATTTGAAATCAGGTAACATGATGCCTTCAGCTTTGTTCTTTTTGCTTAGGATTGCTTTGGCTATTCTGATACTTTTTTGGTTTCATATGAATTTTAGGATTGCTTTTTCTAATTCTGTGAAAACTGGCATTGATAATTTAATATGGATTGCTTTGAATCTGTAGATTACTTTGGGTAATATGGTCATTTTAACAATGTTGATTCTTCCAGTCCCTGATAATGGAATGTTTTTCCATTTGTTTGTGTCTTCTACAGTTTCTTTCATCAGTGTTTTATAGTTCTCCTTAAAAAAAGAAATCTTTCACCTTTTTGGTTTAACAGATTCCTAGGCAATTTAGCTTTTTGGCTGCTATTGTAGATGGAATTGAGTTCTCCATTTGAGTCTCAACTTGGTCACTGTTGGTGTGTAGCAGTGCTGCTGATTTGTGTATGTTTATTTTGTTCTTGAAACTTTACTGAATTCAATTATCAAGTCCAAGAGTCTTTTGGAGGAATCTTTAGTATTCTCTAGGTATAAGATCATATCATTGGCACACAGAGATAGTTTGCTGTCTTCTTTTCCAATTTGGACACACTTCATTTC